TGATTATTGCTATAAACAATAACGACGCGCTTTACAAATTGCTTTAATTTTTTTAAAACAATTGCGCCTACCTGGACTTGGATAATACCTTGTGCGGCCTAAGTGCCGTAAATACGGAGCCTGGACAGGTAAAGCGCAGCCGAGCGCTTTACAATGTAATGCGCGAAAATGCGAGTTACATCGAGCGATTACACACGCGTCGCGGAATGAGGGGATATCGTAGGAGCGGCGTTAATACGAAATAATCCTCGAGACAAGGATGATCCCCGCCGTATCCATTAAAATCCAGGATTACACGGCAAAAAACAGGTGTAAAGATCTAATCCGATCGGAGTGGTCGGAGGACTTTGAGCGCGACTCGGGGAGGAGCTCCACCCGCTCGTACGCAGACGAGGAAGAGGAAAAAGAAGAAATTGCGGCGAGGCTTTCATAGTTGGAGAAGGCCCAGGGGCCTCGAAAGTCTCGTGAGCGGCGTAATCCCGGCTGCCTTTTAAGTATGAAGTGTTTATTCACGGGAGCTGGTCCACAGTGTCATGAATATTCGGGATTTTTCGGTCGGAGATTTTTACATTTTAATCGAAGGGACCTTTTTCGGATAATATCGCCCGATACCGAACTATTACCGTCAGTTCGCGTTATTGTTGGAAGACGGGCGGATTGGGTGGCTAGGGGCGGGGGCCATTCCCCAGTTAGGGGGTGGAGCCGAAGGGAAGAGGCTGCGTACGGATCGTTAATTCATAATGAGGAGTGCGGCTGTTGTAAAGCATTTGCGGTTTTAATGGATATTTCTGCGCAACTCTTTTCTCTCTTTCTCTCTCTCTCTCTCTCTCTCTCTCTCTCTCTCTCTCTCTCTCTCTCACACACACACACACACACACACACACACACATAATTTTATGCCCTTTTTTTTTTATTTTTTAAGTTTCACATTTCTTTCACTGGCCGTTTCCCCACCCGAGTCGTGCGCGTTTCAATCTTTATGCGGGCGTTCATCCACCTTTTTATAGCGTTAGTCAAAGATTTAGTTTGTTTAAACGAAGGCCCCCGAGAGTTAATAAAGACTCGACGTTTTCATTCGGTGGTCTCCTGCACGATTTCGGGAATGCTCGTTTCGTTTTTTTTTTTTATTTATTTTGTAAATTACCGATTTATCGATTTCTCGACGAGTTGTTTACGACGTATAAGCCTCTTCTAGCTATCCTATCTTATAATACGAAATAAAAATACGTTCGATTTGAATGAAATTTTATTTCAACGCTATAATATGAGGATCAGCGTGCGCGAGGGCATATCAGCCTTCTCGAATAAATTTCAAACTTTGCTAATCGACTTGACGACTTGTTTTCAAAATCTCTTGCGCAAGCTCAGGATTAATAATAATGTCCATACGACGATGGATTTATCGCTTAATCGTATCTCGGAATGAATTTTAACTTCTTTATCATTTTACAAATTATATGCAAGATCAATATGCAATATGCAATATGCAAGTAAAATGCCGCTCAACATTGTCCCGGATATCGTGTGCAACGATTCCTGTCTCATCGATATTATTAAGAATGCATTTGCCGCAAAATTTCATACAATAATCGTAAGTTTTAATTAGTGGAAACGGTATTCTAAGAAATGTCGAATGTCTGTAAAATCTCAAATTGGCAGAATACGAATGAATTGTAAATCTCAATTTTGCATTAACGAGTGAGGATTTATGGCCACGGGAACTTGGATATTTGAAAATTAAAATTTATTTTAATTACTAAGTGTGCGTGCAATGCCTCTTCGCGTCTATCAATTTTACAATCAAAATTAGTTATTTATTTTAACGAACAATCTCTTGTCTTTAATCAAATTTATTCTTATTAGGTCAAAAACCAATTGCTTTGAAGATTAGAGAATAAATAAATTGTATCGATCATTACGCTGGATAAAATCGTTGCGACATTTACAATGTAAGAAATTCTTCGTCTAATACGAGAATCGAAGACCCCTTATGGTATTTCATCAGAATCCATATCGATTGATATAGATAAGCTTTGTTTAAGCTAAAACTCCTAGTCGATCTGACGTGGCCTTGATTCATTTGAAAATTTTCTCAAGTGCCGGAAATTCGTTTGCTAATGAAAAATTCTACTCCGCGCAACGCACTGATGATCGAGAAGGAAGACTTTAGTAGAGAGTTTAGTGACTCAACGTAGGACCAATTCCAGATATCACAATGATTATCACAAAATTTAGAAGGGTAAGGGATTCGCGAAAGTAAGTAAGCGAGCGATAAGATAAATAAATATCGACGATAGTCGATAGTCGTCGGATATTATAATCAAAAAACTCGGAATGGAGAGGGCCGACAGAGAGACAGAGAGAAGCGCGAGGAGATAATCGGGGGGAAAAAGCGTGCGAGGTCAATTAGCGCGATGGTTAAGAGTTTTCGCGCGCGCGCATCCATAATCAAGCCGAGTCACAGAATCTCTCAAGGGGGGTAAAGATGCCGGTAACACTTAGCGAACGGCTGCTCCTCGTCGTAATTTCCGCAGGCACGTATACGGAATCCGCCGGTTCACTACGGCCGGTAAACTACGACTAATCACAGCTAGGAGATCGTTTGTAAGAGGCCGGGGCACATACGGCCCGTAACTCAGGGCCCGCGGATCAGTCTCAAGCGTCCGCATTCCCAGGAAGAATCAGGCCCCGGCTGACTAGCCGCCGGCAAAATGCCGCGATGGATCGATCGATCGGGCGGTCGCCGACGCCCTGAAATCGCGTCTCACGCCTGCTTTTTGCGCGCCCTCGCGACTCGGAAATTTAATTAACGAACCTCGAAAAGGCCCAGGACTCGCCTTCGTCACGCCTCAGCGGATCAAGCGTCCATGCGTGACGAGAAAATGAAATTAGAGCAAAAAACGCGGGGGAGAGTCGGGCGAAAAGGCGTAAAAAGAGGATGCCGCGCGTGCGCGAGCTAATACACGGAATCGGATTGCTCCTCGGAGGGTGGCCAATGACTTGCGCCTCTCTCGCCCACTCTCTCTCTCTCTCTCTCTCTCTCTCTCTCTCTCTCTCTCTCTTTATTCTCATCTCACCCAAACCTCCGTCCTCCACCTCCTCCCCATACACCGACACCTCGCCCGCACATCCCTCGTATTATCTCGCTCTATTACTCACGCGCGTGCGAGTTCACTTTATCTCTCTGTCTATCTCTTGCCTTCTTCTTGCTTCTTCGGTCTACCGCGCGCTCACTGACTGATAAAATGACGCAGTCGATGGATGAGTGCAGTGTCAATTTGCCACCTCGACGGGGAAATTGCAGGTCCGCTTCGTTTTTTCATCCTCTCCACCTACCTTGCGACGAATTTACGAGGTGCCGCTTGAGAATGGAACTCGATCTCACTCCCTTAATAGCCGCTCTTTTCAGCTCTTTTGTCCTTTCTCCGACTCTGAGAATTCTCTGGATCTTTGGAGCAAGATAAACCATTCGCTCACCGAGATAACCAATATAACTAGCGAGCTTATCGCGTTAAGCCCACCTCATGGGCAAATTGAGACCTCGCCGACGATGCTCGTCCGGCCATGACAGACAATAGACAGTGACAAATTTGCGAATAATAGATACTTCTCTGCCAAATCTCTGATTCATTAAATTTCAGTAGCTTCTCCTCCCGTTATAACGTAAGCGACTCACCTTACCAAACATCTAAGCATTATGGTAATGAAAGATTAGCGAGAGCGCACAAAATTTCATGAATATTTAATATTTAAAAATTCTCGTTTATTATTTCTTTTTATTGCTATTATCATTATTATTATTATTATTACGCTTTTTTTTCCTTTATTAAATTTATTTATTTTTTTTTTTTTCAATAATCGCGGCCTTTGTGCTAACGCATAAATCTTTCGGTTATCCTCTTGAACTTCGACTCTTGAGGCTCTCGATTCAAGCACGAGCATTAAATTGACCGCAATTTTATCTATTAATAATAGTCGAGAGAGCGCTCTCTTCATTCCTGAAATCAAAAAACAGAAAATATCGTTGCGTGCATGTGTGTAGGATGCATTAAATAAACTATAAGGCCGTGTCGTTCGATTTATCATCGTTATTTATTCTCGCTGTCGATACTCTCTAAATATTATGTACAATAATTTATATCGTTTTTGTTTCCTCTACATTTACAAATACTTATGCGTTTCATCAGCGCGAGTAGTAGCAGTAGTAGTAGTAGTAATAGTAGTACAATTCATTTTCACTTTTTTAAGTAGTAACAGTAACTACGAACGAAGTCGATGCTCTGCGCCTTGCCATCTGCAGCGCCTATATATATATATATATATATATATATATATATATATATATCCATTACATTTCTTTATTGTGCTTTTTGTCTCGACCGCGTTCGCATGCGCGCGTCCTCGCATCGTTAATCCTTTGTCGAGAGACAGTATGATAAAGGGGGAACACATCGCTATAAATCACGTTGATCAGCTAAGTCTACTATACGCGCATAATACAAAGATGTCGCTGCTACAATGTCGCGCAGTCGGCGCGTTAATTCGTAGGGATGGGACGAGCTTGGGACTCTTCGAGCCCCGCCGTGTGTCCTGAAAATCGCCGATAAATGTGACTGCCGCCTTGGGTCCTCATCAGCTCGTCGGGGTCGGCCCCGGCTTACGAAGCTCGCTAAGCGAAATGAAAGCGTTCGCGATTTAAAGGACGAGCGGCCGGCTACGCGCATAGGACCCTCGCCGTACGTCGCCGGCTCGTAAAATTATTAAGTCCCGCTATTGAAAATGGGTCCCGAAGCCAAAAATACTATGTTCGTATGACTCGTCGGTATTCGGGGTTTAAGCAACCGAGCGGCCCACTCACCGTCGCCTTTATCGACGGGGTGTAACAGAGGCAGGTAGGTTAAGAGGCCGATCGCGGGGACGACGTAGAACAACGCGGTGGACGAGGATAACGTGGTGGATCAGGCGGACTCGATCGCGAACACGCGGCTCAAATATCAACGGCTGGAACCTCGGGAATGTGGAACGCGTGTCGCCCGATCGCCTTCAAATAAATAAAATTCGCTAGGCCCGGCCGAGCGAGCCGGGGATCGCGCGGCCATCCTCCGTTCCATCAGGTCGCCGCCCCGTAGCTCGGCCTCTGGTGCGCCCCGTCGCCAAGGCTCGGCTGTACCGCAAAGCCCGCTGCGTAGATCGGCCGGGGCATCGAGAGAACGAGCCTCTTCTCTTCCCGGGCGCTCTCCTCCTGGCGCTCGTCCTGCCGCTCGTCCGGCGCTATGATATTCTCGATGGTGAAGGGCTTCTTGGCCCGTTTGGCGATCTGGCGAGCGAGGAGGCCGGCGGTACCGGACGCCGCGGAGGCCGCGACCGGCGGCGCTTCCAACACGAGGCCCATCCCGTAGCCCCCGGGGCCCGTAGCCGGTGGTTCCTCCTCTAGCCTCTCCCGAGCGTAATACGAGCTCGCCTCGCGGAAGTTGAGGGCCGCTACCGCGGCCTCACTCTCACCGGGATAGCCACCACCCGCGGCCCCGAAGCTCGACGAGAAACTCCAGGATGCCGCGCCCTGAAGGAGAGGTGGCTCAGCTGTCGCGCCATCGGCCAGCCGCTGCCGCGCCTCCGGACTCAGGAGGTAGTAGCTCGGGCAGCCGAGGGCTGAGCCGACGGGGGCCGGTGGCGCGGGCAGGGCCTGGCTCGCAGCGGCCGCTGCCGCGAGCATCATCCGCCTCTCCTGCATCTCCCAGCGCATGAGGTCCTCGCGGAGCCGGTGGAGATTCGCCGGGCTGAGGCCGCCGGCCCCGGGTCCCGGGCCCGACGGGTGCTCGGGGCCCAGGACCCCGGGTCCGGCGAGGTCGGCGCGCGGCGGTGGCATCGCCGAGGCCAGAGCCTGGAGCTCGGACTTTAGAAGCTCCTTGTCGGGCTTGTGGAGCTTGAAGCGCTTGCGACGCCGTAAGAGGCTCCCGTTCTCGAACATGGAGAGGGCCGCGGGATGAAGGGCCCAGTAGGCGCCCTTGCCGGGCCTGTGAGGCCCACGCGGTACCTGCAATCAGAAGCAGAGAGCCTGGCTTAGGATGGCTGTGAGTCCTTGGAGAAGTCGATTAGGCTAGCAACGAGTGACTTACTCGTCTATTCCAAGACAAAGAGCGTAAATTAAAATTTAGATAACCGGGCGCACGCGACTATTAACATTCCAGAATCAGGTTACCACGGCAAATTTATTACCATATTATTTCCCATTCATATTTATGCACCTACGAATATAATCTCCCTGCCCTTATTGGAAATTTTACGCAAAGGAAAGCCAGTATTGTTTTATCAATACTTAGATAAATATAAAAATGTTTAAGCAACACTGCAAACGTAATGGTTACATAACCTGACTGCATCGTGGCACGGGGGCCCTCTAATGTCAAACTGCTGGCTAATTTCTATCAATATCTACTATTCATAAGCACTATAGTCACTATACACTGTTAATTATTGCCTCGTGAATTGAAATATTCTCAGGCTATAAATTTATTGCAGGATAATAAGACCTAATAACTACAAGGTATATGCGCATGTGTACATCGGCATTGTTTACCCACAAGCCATTAAATATTAATATTAAAACATTATGGAAAATCATGACACGGTCGATAAGTCAATCCTTTTTTCCATTATAATTTCTCGTCTTAATATTCGTTGCCGATGCTTTTTATATCTAATCTTGATAAATCTCCGAGCGTAAGCCGTAATCATTTGCCAAATCGCAAGCAGACAATGTCGAGTATTAGAAAATCTTGGATTGTTTTTGCTTTTTCTTGTTGTTTTTCATTTTGTTCTATTTATTGATGAAATTCTATGAGCAATTTTATTAAAGTCATATTAAATTACTATATTAGGTATTTTTTGTTAAACAAAGCGGCAATGTATACAGTACTAAAAATAATATTTCGTAAGTAAATTTCATGAAACTTCCTTACGACGCGTATAATGCGCAATAAAGTTGAAGACTAATAATACAACATTTAGCCGTGCGTACAAATTTTAAATTTCAAAATGAGTTTAAAATTATTTGCCTCGATGCACGAGAGGGCAGAAAGTTAAAATCGTTGATGTTAAAGTGATTGAAACGATAATTGGATGCGCATAAGGCATTGCAACAAACAAAAAACAATAAAAAAAAAAAAAAAAAGAACCAAAAGAAAAAAAATAGAAAGAAAAAAAAGAAGAAAGGAAATAAATTATATCTAACGAATTATAACAAATTAACGTAAAGAATTATCGATAAAAAATATATCAACACCTTTGAAATGCACTCACTGGCTTGAGACTTGGCAAGTGTAGAATTTCACGCGCTCTAACGGTACCGACTATTTGCTGCTCGGCTTATTGAAATTGGAAATATCGGCTTGCAGCAGGTTTGTATTTAATTTATGCGAGCTGTAAAGAAGAGAGAGAGAGAGAGAGAGAGAGAGAGAGAGAGAGTATTGGATGCTTGTCTTCTTTAACTCGGCGATTAGTAGTTTTGGCCAAACGCCAACTCAAGATATTCAAACTGTCAACGTAGCGGTCCCGCGAAATAATTATCCCGGTAAAGGTAAGCGGCGTTGGTAGGAATAATCAAAGTCTGTCCCGAGACTCGGAGCAAACAACTCGGTGAAGATATTATTCCCTGCTACCGGTAAATAATAATCTACAAAAACAAATAACCAACGATCATAACGTCCCGATGAAATTACATACGACATAAATTCATTGAGTAGTGGAGGTATGGTCGACGGTCGTCGGGGAGTTACATAAAGTAGAAAGTCCGACGCAACGGCAGAATAATATTATTTTAAAGTTTGGCTTAAGCGAGCGTTTCATTGGTCGGTGTAAAGGAAAAAATCGATCGCAACTGCCTATTAATGCGTTAACTAGCGCGCTTTTCATTTGCTGAAGTTTACCGTACGCTCGCCCTCGACGTTCCATCACCGCCATATTAGAAATTCGCGCGCCGCTTTTCACCATAGAAAAACCGCAGCGCACGGACACGTAGAAAAGGCCGCGCGCTCTACGC